TAAGGTGTTGATTTTGTTGTTTATTGGTCTCATTCACTCTCTTGGTGGTTTCTTTCCTCATATGCTTTTAATTTTTAACTGTGAACTGTGAATTTTAACTTCAAAAGAAGTTGTTTTCAATGGAGTTCTGCATGCCCTGGATTGTCCAGTAGTCTCTGTGGAGCTGTTTCATGCTGGCCCCAGCCAAGGCCCCAAGGATCTTGCCACTTGCAGACAAGTTTTTAGGTGAACTCCTTCGTTCAGGAGACCTGTGCTGTATATGTAGGGTGAACTCACAATCCACAACTCCACACTGTTATGAACTTAATATCCTGTTTTTTAAATCTTTTTCCAAAGACTCTCCACCTTTATCCTAGCTTGCTTTCATCTCGTTTCCCTGGAGCTGGTGCCAGTGGGCAGATATTTTCTAGTTCCTGGTTCATAGACCTTACAGCTCTTCTAGGCTTTTAACTTCATACATCATGCTCCATTTTTGTTCCCCATCCATTCAGAGCCTGCACCTTAACTCTTCTCTATGCGTGTCTTATAGATGTTTAGGTATATACTTGGAAATATCAGATTCTTACTAGATTTGCTTCAGATTTTTTTTTAATGAAAGAGAACAAACATAAAGCTAAATCCCAAGGTCCACTCCACTAGTCTCCTTCCCTTCCTCTCCAAAAGTAGTAAGGTTTCTAAAGTACATTTCTATTTTAAAATTCTACAGAAGTGGCAACATTCAATTCATATTCTTTTGCCACTTTTTTCACTCAACGGTATGTTTGTTATATTTATCCTTTTTAATTGATAAATAGTATTCCACTGTATAAATAAAGCATATTTTGGTCATTTCCTTATGAGGAGGTAGTTTTTAGTTTTTATTACTACAGGCAGTGCTCTAGTGAAATTGTCCTCTTGTGTACATATGTGTTTCTCACATCTAGGAGTAGAATTTGTAGGTCAAAGGACACACACATCTTTATTGTTCTAGAAAATACTGAGTTGCCAGCTAAGAGTGGCTGTTCTGACTCATATTCTCACCAGCAGTGTTTGAGTTCCTGTTTTTCCATCTTTTCCAGTACTTGATGATTTTTAGACTTGAAATATTTTGCCAATCAGATTGTTTTTCTAACATATTTACCTGTTCTCTTTGATTTTTTTTTTTTTAAGATTGCTTTGATGGTAACAAATGTCTATATGGGTCTCTTTTTTTCCAATAGTCAATTTTTTCCATCACTCGTTAATGTTGCACAGTTTTTGCTGTTGCTGCTGTTTTTTTAGAGACAAGGTCTTGCTATGTTGCCCAGGCTGTTCTCACTACAGGCAAATGTTATGCTGTTTTTAATTACTGTAGCTTTAGAGTAAGTTCTCATATCTTGGAGGGCAGGTGACCTCCTCTCCCTCTTCCTCCTCCTCTTTGTTCTTCAGGAGTTTAATAACTTTCTCCATAAAGGTCTTATACAGTTTTTAATAGATGTATATGTAGGTATCTTGTCTTCTTTGTTGCTACTGTGAAAAATATCTTCTTCCAAATTATGTTTTTAATTTTTTTATTTTTTGAGACAGTCTCACTCTGTCACCCCAAGTAGAGTGCAGTGGCATCATCACAGTTCACCACAACCTCAAACTCCTAGGCTCAAGTGATCCTCCTGCCTCAGCCTCCCAAGTAACTGGAACTATGGGCATGCACCACCACGCCTGGCTAATTTTTTTTTATTGTAGAGACAGGGTCTTGCTCTTGCTCAGACAGGCAAATTATATTTTTAATAGTTTGTTGCTCTTATATCCATTATGTAACAACTATTTGTTATTGTGTAGTGCTCTTATAACTCTGCCGAACTTTTATTAGTGCTAATGGTAATTACATTTGTGAATATGACAGTTTTGTTTTTTCCTGTCTAGTCAAACACACACTGTAGTTATAATTTTTTGAAGTTATTAAAAATAAAGCAGGCTAGGCATGGTGGCTTATGCCTATAATCCCAGTACTTTGGGAGACTGAGGTGGGAGGATTGCTTGAAGCCAGGAGTACAAGATCAGACTGGGCAACATTGCAAGACCTCATCTCTAAGAAAATTTTTTTTAATTAGCTGGGCATGGTGGCGCATGCCTGTAGTCCTAGCTACTCAGAAGGCTGAAGCAAGGACGATCACTTGAGCCCGAGAGATCAAGGTTGCAGTAAGCTGTGATCGTGCCATTGCCCTTCTGCCTGGGCAACAGAGTGAGACTTTGTCTCTACACAATAAATAAATGAAGGATAAAAATTATATTGACAAAGCTTATAATTTAAAATTTAAAATCTTATTTCAGCTTATAGTCACATCTTTATTTTCATGACCATCGTATGTGTCTTCTAGATGCCGAGTATGCAAATTCCCCCTTGGCACCTACATTCTGCACTCCTGGTTTGAAAATTCCTTCTACAAAGAACAGCACAGCTTTGGTAACTTTCTGTAAAATTAAAAACTCTAATCTTGCTCCTAACAACTCAGATACAGTATTGCTTCCAGACTCAGTCTGTTTTAAAAACTTATACTAATGAAGCTTTTAGGAATATATTTTGAGGGTAATTCGGCAGCATAGATCAAGAGCTTTACAATTTTTTTCATACCCTTTAACCATGTCTCAGAAGTTGTTCTAAGACAAGTTTGGGCAAAGATTTATAACAGGGAAGTTATAGAGGAAGGAATAGCATTATTTATAAGAATAAAACACGGGGAACAATATAAATGTCACGTGACAGAGAAGCGAAGTGCAATAAGGCATAGCTATGAGATCTGGTTTTACTTCACATATTTTGAAAAACAGATGAGAACATATAAAAAGTAGGTTTTCAAGAAGTATTTAATCATATGGAAATGACATGTATATCCATACACACACATATATACACATTTATTTTAAGGAAAAAGAATGTATAGAAAGACACCAAAATGTAGTTTTCTCTGGGTGATAGATTTAAGGTGATTTTGTGCTTCCCCTCCCCCAAATTAATGGACCAATTTAATCAAATCAAAACCTTATCCCTCTTTAAAGTCTATAGGAACATTTAAGACAACCAATAGTATAGACAACCAATACTGTATTAAGGTCTCCAATAGAATTTCCTAATCAAATGTAATTATTGAGCACTTAAAATGTGGCTAGTGTATTTGAGGAAATAATT